TAAATGTCCATTGTACAAAGTATGCAGCGCGTAAGCTCGCGTTGTGGTGTCAGCTGCATTTTGTGCGAGACAGGCGTTGCGTAAGGTCTGCGTAAGCCGTTCTTGCTCCAAGTGTACCGCGTAAGCAAACATGTGAGTCGCGTAAGGCAGCGTAAGCATAAGCGTAAGCCCAATGATACGACATGGGATTTCATCAAGGTTTTCAGAAACGCTCAACTGTTTGCCAAGTGGGGAGCAGGGGGAACCACTTGCAGGTTGGTTGGATGCCTTGAGGGAGAAAGGCGTGGTTGTGATCAGAGAAGTATGCAGAGACGAAGTCAAGGACCACAGCAAAAGTTGGAGCATACAGCGACACCATGAATGTACAGAGTATATATGTAATTACGTATACCAATGTGCTTATTAACAATCTGTTAAAACCGCCGTTTGCAAGCCTTCAGGTGAGAAACTATCCAGCGGTGAAGTTGCTTTGTAAGTCGTTGCTTTGTGCGGAAAGGGTCAGAAATGGCAAGATTTCAAGTTCATGCTCTCACTGCACTGTGACTGCTTAGCTCTCAGGAGCTGCAGGACCTGCTGTGGCAATGGCTTGAAGGTGGGAGAATGTTTGTTTTGTGCCGGGAAGTGATGCCGCATGAATGTGTTCCATGGTCACTTGCAGAATAGAATGCAGTTCTCGAAAAAAGAATTCAGGGGAATCACTGCAAGCCAACAGAAAGTTGCTTGAAGGTTTTGGCGGTGGAGGTCCGGGTCTTAGAGCAGGGCCTTGGCACATCCTAAACATGGCTACCAGAGATTGAGCTGAAAATGATTCAAGCACAAGTAGCGATGCCCTGGGCTCCCAGTAGCGTCCTTGCTCCTAGTTGAGCACAAAGGCAGAGTCTCAAGAAATGATCCCTTGACTTGGACGATGGCAGATGACCGCTGGTCTCTCAGCTGCATTCTGTACATGGACCTTGATTGCTTCCTAGTTTTGCAGCACCAAAAATTGATTCCTTATGAATCTAGTTATTCGAATCCAATTTTGAAGCAGCTAACATGTTGAAGCAGCTAACACAATTGTTGAATCCAACTCGGCAAATTTGGTGTTTTGTTTGAGTGGGAAGTCTTTTGGTTTCGCTTGAACAAATACATATCTAAAGAATTGTACTTGAGGTGGTTTCGGTGTCTAGCTCGGTTTTAAGATGGGCTTTTGCACTGCCTGCCTGGTGTTACTGTTGAGCTTTGATTGCATGTTGAGCCCCCATGGCTGGCCATGTGTGAAATGTATGTTTCTATTTTTTGCCCCTTTGCTCATGAGGCCAAGGGACAACCGCTCCACTGGCATTGTTTGTGTGAGAGGTGCTGGACAGGCGATGGCAGCGTGGAAGGTAAGAGGGCACTCTGTGGCTTGGTTTGGCACAAACAAGTTTCGCAAAGTTTCCCAAGTTGTGCCAATCAGAGACTCTGCAAAAGGGAGAGGCCCAGAGAAGCAAGCTGTTGAGTGACACTAAGACATGCAACTTTCTCAGACATGAGACAAGCTTCCCAGGTAGTGCAGTCAATTTTTGCAAGCCAATGGGTTTCCTGGCGCTTAGAGTTCTATATCCAAATCATGATGTCTTGATGTTTGAGTTAATGCAGCACATCATTCAGGATGGTGTTGGGGTTGCTCAATTACAGTACAAAGCAGCACTTCAAAATACCGGAATGCAGCATTGCAAATAAAGCCCAGTTTGCACCGATGTGCTCAAATAGCAGGGTAGTGCATTTTACCGGAAACACCATGCAATTGTTGACCTCATTTGGAAATGACTTGCATCCTCAACCCCCCTGCACATTCAAGGATGTTGAGCCTCACGAACTTTTGACTTCGATGGAGCCTTGCTGCAAGATTCAAGTTATAGATTGCATATGTTTCTCCTTGATCATTCCAAATGCCAGATGTATATAGCACAGTTTTCGCTTTCAGACTCACTAAATGTGTCAAACCTTTGGGGAATTGTGACTGAAGCTTACAGCAGACATTTGGTGCCACAGGACGGCCTTATTCTTTGGCGGCCCTGGCAAAAGAAGCCTCAGCAGATCTCAGAAAGTTGGAAAACTCGTGGATGTTGGCTTCATGTTGATCAGAATGCCTCTTTCAAGCATGAAGCATCCAATTCTCCGGATTGCTGACTGATGACGGACTAATTTTGCGGTGTCGTTGTTTCTGTAAGGTGTTCAAACGCCGTGAACTTCTAGCTGTCCAGGCGCTGAGCCGCTGTGTTGCATGCGCTGAATTGGGTTCGTTGACTGCGCAGGGCATCGTGAACCTATGCAGTGCTGATCCAGCATCCACTGGTGGCTTCGTGTGCATTCCAGGAGAGTTTGGCGTTTAGCAGCCCTCTGTAATTATGCAAAACGGCAGTTGCCTTTAACAAAGAGGCAAAGAAGTCTCACATGTGACATATGTCATTTGATATGATGAACATGTGCTTAAGTGTGGTTGATTTCAGAGGAAGCCACGTCCCTGAATTTCATGAAGAATTTCGTGAAAGTCTTGGAGGGGATCTTCATCGTCTACGAAAAAGAGGCTTGAAGCTGCGATGTTGAGAGTACAAGTACAGTATATGTGGAGGTGGTAGAGCAGCAAAGGATTATGCCATATCAAAGCATGCCTACCATTTCAACCTTTTGTCAGTGAACAACGCATCATACTATAACCTCCCACGTTACACTTTTACATTATCGAATGCAGTGTTTTTCGTTTGGCAGCAACATACACTTTTGACCATGTCCAATTTAACAATGATGCTTTGACATGTAAGATATTATATGAGGGTTGCCATAAATGGATTGGGCAGAACTTGCACCGCGTTGAGATTATATAGACTTGCTCACTTTCTGTGTAGGGTCTAGAGATGTCTAGAGTGTATCATTAATGTTCAATCTATTTTTTCACATGGTCGTTCAGGGGTACGGTATTATTGTTCTTTTGGAGGTGTCACGGTGTCCCGATCATTTGGCAACTCCAAATTGGCACCATATGGATCCATATGGCAACGTTCGTAGCAGCTTGGGATGTTTCTCAAGTGAAGTTTGGAGTTCTTCGGAAGACACGTTTGGAGGGTTCGAGAGGTGTTGGTACAGCATGTCATATTCCTTTGCACCAAGACCGCCCACATGGTGCAGTATGAATCCTCAAGACACAGCCAAACACAAGTTATACTGTCCTTCACGAGACTGGTAGTGATAATATGCATACATCCTGACGATATATGGAGGTTTCCATAAATGGGGGTACCCCCAAAGAATGGTTTATTATCAAACAACCCATTAAATTGATGATTTGGGGGTCCCCCCAAGCCATCCCTCCAGTGGCTAAGGTATAGATAGTGCTTCTGGGAATGGTAGGGGCCAAACCCCATGCAAATGGCCTGTGAGCCTCCGATTTGGGGTCCTTCCAACGTGGCAACTAGGTTTACTCAGATACGTCGGAATGTTTCTTCTATGAAGAGCCCGGGGATTGCTACCTTTTGCCTGTCAACAAGTTCACTCATTCCCAGGTGATTTCTTAGCCTTGGAAGACGACATTTGGCAACAGCGAGCAGTTGGAATTCGCTTAAGTCCCGGAGATATGCTTCTGCCGCTTGTTCAAATCACTATATAGTTGAATACCAGCATCTCAGCATGCTAGCATGCTCTGCAACAAGGGTCATTGTTCCGTGCTGGACTTTTTGAGCATAATCAGGTGGGATGGGAGACTTGTGCATGGAAGCGAACCTGCTCCAGGAGTTGAAGGCTGCATTAAGTAATGGGTGTCCAACTGGTCACTTCCGTTTGTCCTGTGCGATCTTGACTTTGAACAACTGACATGGAAAGGTGACATTGCATTTGCAAGAGACATTCAACGCGGTGATCCCTTGGAATTGCTTCGGATGGCGGTGCCCGTCCTGATCTAAGCTGTCGTGATGTCGATGACCAACCTTGCGAGTCTCTAGCGACCAGGTTTGCATGGTCCCGCGGCACTTTGCAGAGGATCAGGACCATTGATTATCTTTAATTTATTTTACATTTTGATGAACATGCGCAAAGGAACTAGGACCTTTTGGACCTTTGGAATTAGATTATGTTGGAAGGAAACCCTGGCGTCTTGGAGAGCCCAGGTTCGCGGGGAGATGCAAGTATCAATCTGCATATTTTTACAATGGAGATGTCGAGTCAGGCCCTGTAGTTGTAGCTGTCGGCTGGTCAAGGCAGTGGCATCAGGCTTGACAACAAAGCATTGGCCGCAGAGACAGCGGACACAAGGTGAAGCTGCAGGCAGGGAGTACTTCTATAATCAGCATGGAATCAATTGCAACACAATTGCAAAACGGTTCAGCGCATGTGGCTCTCTCAGCCCTTGCTCTCCAAACAACAAGCACTGGGCCACCCCTGTAAGTCTGATTCTTGGTCACAAAAGTGTCCAATGGTTTCACCATGTTCATCCATGTTCCACCAGTACCCACATACCCAGCTTAAAACATTTCGTACTTGGAAGACACCACCCAGCAAGACGCTGGCTATAGGCGCAAGCAAATGCCCACTGCCTTGCGCCGCAGCATAAAACTGCACTCCATTTCTTCCCTAAATTATTTGATTGCCCAAGCAGCAGGATCATAATCATGCAGCCTTTGCCGCGCGGTGATGAAATAGAGGCACATTTGTTCACACCTGAGAAGACTCGACTGAGAAGGTCCGCATCTCTTGTGATGTGTGTGTGTGTGTGTGTCAACCCCTGGGCCAAGGGTTCGCCTCCACCACCGCCTTCACCACGGTTTCACATGCAGGGGGGCAGTGATCCTTTCAGCAGTCACTGCCTAACAAAGACGCTGCTGATCGGATGTGATATTCAGAGAGGACGCTCTCAGAACGTACCTGCGCCAGTTTTAAACTTTTGACCACGCTGTTCCAATCTCTTTTGCTTGCTTCCATGGTTGTTCATGATACCTCCCACAAACCTACTCTTCCCCAGCAGCTGCGCCGCCGTTTTGATCGCCGATTTGAACAATGTTCAACAATACTTTTCAACGGACTTTGCCACCTTGCTGTTCCATCGCCTTCCTTCCCAACGTGGGAACGGAGTTAACTGAATACCAATGTCAGAGTGTGTTTCGCTCAGCCGTCCCACTCGGGTGCTGAGTGTGATCCCCGTCACTGGGGCGCTGTTCCACTGGGAAAGCATTAACCGACCTCACCACCGCTCACAGGAATTTCACTGGAATTCACCACCACTTCCACCGAATTAACTGCCACAACGGCCGCCGGGCCTAAACACGGGACTTGCCATTTCGCAGAGATTGCATTTTTCCATTTTGCATTTTTCCGCACGATCTTGCATGTTTACTCAAGCAGTCTGACCTGAGTTTTCAGCAGTTTAATTCGATTTGCATGAACACACTACGACTTCACACTATCCACAAATACACCTTTCCACCTTCAAGCGCTGAAGCTGCTGCCACTGAGCTAGTGAAGCTCTACGTCCAAAAAGGACACAACCCAATTGCTTGCAGCCGGTTTTTGAAAGGAAAAAGCGCCGATTACGGCGACCTGTGTGTGTCAACCCCTGGGCCAAGGGTTCGCCTCCACCACCGCCTTCACCACGGCTTCACATGCAGGGGGGCAGTGATCCTTTCAGCAGTCACTGCCTAACAAAGACGCTGCTGATCGGATGTGATATTCTCTCGTACCTGCGCCAGTTTTAAACTTTTGACCACGCTGTTCCAATCTCTTTCGTTTGCTTCCATGGTTGTTCATGATACCTCCCACAAACCTACTCTTCCCCAGCAGCTGCGCCGCCGCTTTGATCGCCGATTTGAACAATGTTCAACAATACTTTTCAACGGACTTTGCCACCTTGCTGTTCCATCGCCTTCCTTCCCAACGTGGGAACTGAGTTAACTGAATACCAATGTCAGAGTGTGTCACACCCTGTTTCCAAGGGTTGCCAACAGGTTTTGCATCTAATATGCAGGGGGACAACGGCCAGTCTTCCCACGTTGCCCAACGAAGCTACGGAAGACTGCTGGAAGCATTCAGGGACTCCTGAATGTGTACCTGCATCTGGATTCTGAATCCTAGGTAAGGACAAAGCTGTCTAATTCGGTGTTTTGCAGTATACTGTAGTTCTAATGCACTCGTCTAATGCCAATACACTCTGTTTCACCTGTGTTAAGCATTACTGGTTCTTCTGACCCATCGCCATCGCCACTCCGTTATGGGAGTCAAGGTCTACTGCAGTAAATTAAAGCGTTCATGCACTTGGAAACCACTAACTGAACGAATGCTCATTCAGTTGAGCAGTGCATCTAAGTGTGTGTTTTGGCTACTTGCTTTGCCCCCACAAGGAAGTTTCGCTGCTAAACCTCCTTCACTTATTAGCCTACTGTAGCAGGTGTACTGTCCACGTGTAAAGCAAGGCTCAATGGGCTCGCCCCAACCCTCGCCTGTCAAACCATTGAGTGGAAGGAAATTTGCCAACCCTTGCCATGTAAGCTCTTTGTATGTGATGTTTCAAGGAGGAAAACCTGCACCACTGATCAGACACCGTCTTGTATTGTCATATCTTGTCCGCCATTTGCTTTCAGGACCTGGCTTCATTCCCCCAACGCTTTCCCCTGAGATGCGGCAAGTCCTTTGATGCTCAATTGGTTGATGTGCAAAGTCACATGGCCTTCAGCTCAAAAGGAGTTGGGCACAAAACCTAGATGCAGAAGGAGCATCATAAATCATAAGGGAAACATGGGACACCCAGATTTGCTTGATGATTCTGCATCAGAGTTAGCATTGAATCAAAACAAAACCTCAAAGCATCCAAAAACAATGGTAGGTTGCCATTCCGAGCCATTCCCGTAAATAGTAAGTTTTGTTCACTTGGTGGGATAGCCGTAGTTAGTTGAAGCTCCTTTTTCATTGACATGGACGCTTCTATTCTGAGCAGAATGCTGTGCGTGATGGCTGCAACTGCTACAGCATACGGCCTTTAAGCTTTGCCAGGCTTTGTGCGCAGTTTCCGTATTGATTGCCTGAAAGCTGCCATCATCGATTTTATCACGCAGGTCTTGCTTTGTCTTCTTGTCCGCATGGTGGGTTTTCTAGACAGTAGAATATTTTCAGACTCTTGGCAGAGGTGACTAGGTATTTGGTTGTGTGTTTTGGATTCTGCGAAGGAGATTGGAGGAAAATTTGTGGATCCTCCGACTTTTGACATTGCCAAATCATATGCTGACTCTGTCTTGGTCTCAGATGAGTTATTGCCCTTTCTGCTTGGTCCAAAGATTCCAGTTCAGGTCAACACGACTCCCCTGATCTTCATCCTCTCTCCTGGTACAGATCCCGTCTCTGACGTGATTCGCTTTGCCGAGCAGCAGCTTGGCGTGGCAGAAGTGCGTGACATGGCTATGCCACCTCAGCAGTCTAAGGGTTGGAATGGCCAAGAAATTTGAGCCCATCTCCCTCGGGTTGCAGCCTCAATTCGATTCGAAACGCAAAGAAGTGAATTGCAACACACAATATCAAGCAGTAACAAGAAACTACTAGGGGCTCCTGGCATCGCTACTAGGAGCAAGGACGCTACTAGGGGCTCCTGGCCTTACTACTAGGAGCAAGGACGCTACTAGTAACAATTATCGAAACCAAGGCAAGGACAAGGACCCAGAGCACAGAAATTGATCGACTCTGCGCGCCAGAGCGGAGGCACGGTATGATGAAATAAAGAGGGAAGATAAGAGGGGTCCAGAACAAGGACGTGAAATTTGTTGTAGTGTTGTTCCTTCATGTTCCTTCCGGAGGTATTCAAACAGTTGTATTATGTTGCATTATGTTTTCATGTGGCTGATGTTGCCCTGCGCCGAATTGAATCAACACTGGAACTGGTATGATTTGCACTTAGAGAGGCTAGGTGCAATCTGCTTAACTGTTCAATCAATCATTGTTACAGAATGTTACAGAGAGACAGAGAGGATTGTCCATGTTTGCTTCGTTTGCCACAGAGGATGGGTGTTGCTGTCGAACTGCCACCTGATGCAGCACCACCCCCAATTTTTTGAAGTAGCTTGAGAGATCTTGAGAGCCAGACACGTTTTCGCAGAGACAAACAACCCTTTGTCAACTGCCTTAGCATGCCATAAGTTGACAATGGTTTGTTTGTTTGTCATATATAAGTAGACAAAGTTTTCCAATGCGCTTGAAGTTTTCTCACAGCCAGTTTCTTCGATTGCTTCAAGGTCCTGGATGCCGACTCTGGAGGCTATTGCTCGGACCTTGAGACTTTTAGTATTGTACAATGAGAGTTTCTTTTGGGCCGCTCCTCCCCTCCTACTTAATTAAGTAGAGACTACCTACTTAATTAAGTAAGGACATGAGGTAGCTAGTACCTACAAGTTATATAGCTGCTAGCTACTGGACGCGGGATAGCTCACGCTTCCTTGAAGAAGCACTCGCACCAATAATTTGATTTCTGTTTAAGGGAAACTTAACATTAAAACTTGTACATTAGAACAATAGTCGGGTGTATACACCTATAGTCGGTTGATAATTTCAATATTGTATTTTATACAAAACATTTTTGAGTTTCAGGCAGCCTTGCTGAAGCATCTGAAAAGAAACCAAAGATGCTAACTATCAAACCATGCTGAGTTCTGAGCAAAGCACTCCGTGATGTTTTTTTGTTGTGCTGCTTATTTGCCCCTTTTATTTCGATTTCTAGCTTTCATCGCCTTGACGCATTGCTTTCCATAGGTCCTTAGCCCGTTTCATCCCTTTTCCCTCGCCTGTTTACCCCGCTCTTTCGCCCTTTTACTTTGTTTGCGCACAGATTGGCTTTTCTTTGTGCTTTGGTCTTGATGTTTTCCTTTGCTTGCTGTCGCTGGTTCCTGTGTTGCTCGAGGCCGGAAAACCTCGCTAAAGCTTTGTGTTTGCCAATTTTCTGGCTCCTATCCTTTTCAACATGCATGCTTGCAGGCATTTGCATGCGACGATCTACTGACATTGCTTGGTCGTGCTACTTGTTTGTCTTCTAAGGTTGAGCAGCTCGATCCGGAGACAATGTCCAACAATTTCCGGCTTTGGCTGACTTCGATGCCAGCCAAGTCATTCCCCGTGCAGGCTGCAACCAAAACGTTCACGTTAGCGACGGCGCAGCGTCGCAAGAACATGCAAGGTGCTGCAAAACGGCGTAAAGATGACCAACGAACCTCCTTCTGGATTGCGGGCCAATTTGCACTGTTCCTAGTGACCTTTGCCATTCTGGCGACGTGCACAATTGTCTAGAGTTTTGTTTAATTGCTTTATACATCTTGACGTGCTTTCTAGCTTGAGGCTTCGATCTTACTCAACAGTCAGTGACAAGCTCTTTGAGGAGTCAAACAAGCCTTCAGTGAACGCCTGATTTGAAGCAAACAACCACTGTGTTTTCTATCCATTCTTGTGGCGTTGTTTTTCATGTGCTTGATGTGTTTGTTACTTTGTGCAATGAATGTCTTCAAACGTTCCGAGGTCTTCAAGAGTCTTCTATTTGGGTTCTGCTTCTTCCATGCAGTCGTCCAGGTGTGGGGCTCGCATTTTGCCGCCTTACCTGCCTAACTTGTTCTTGATATCATTGATATCCCTTATTTCAAGCAGGATCGGCGCAAGTTTGGTCCGATTGGTTGGAACATTCCCTACGGCTTCACTCCGGAGGTGCAGCCAAAGTGCATACGCAAGTGAAAACATGCCAAAGATGCTCAGGATTTGGCAGTTTGCCGCCAGCAGCTGATGCTTTTTGTCAACAAGTACAAGGAATCGGTATATTATAGAAAGAAGTCTTTGTGCATTGCTTGCGAGGGATGGTTTTCTTGCACTTATGAGACTAACAATTTCATACCAGGACGTGCCCTACAAAGTGCTCAACTTTTTGGGAGCTCAGATCAACTATGGAGGGCGTGTCACTGACGACAAAGACAAGCTCTTGATCTCTACGTTCCCTCACAAAGTTTGATCGAAGTTGCCATTGCACCGCATACTGTTGCACCTTCGACAGATTTGTGCCAGGATCCTGGCCACCTTTATTTGCCCAGAAGCCGTCAACCAAACAGACAAGTACAAGTGCCCTTGGGACGGGGCTTTCACTCCACGACTTTTGTTGAACAAGTCTGGACATCTAGCAGAATCTTGTATATAGTAGCTTCTTGTTCCTGGTAGTAAGGCCAGGAGCTACTAGTAGCGTCCTTGCTCCTAGTAGCGATGCCCTTTGTTACTAGTAGCTTCTTGTTCCCCAGAATCTTGTAGGTATTCTGCCAGTGGATTGTACTATGCTCCCAACGCAGAGAACGTCGAGGCCAAGCATTCAGCCTCGAAGGTGTTGGAAGTCAGATTCCCACTTTGGAAGGACTTTGTGGAGTATATCCGCGGCTTGCCGCCCTGACCTGATGCCTGACAAAGCTGTATGATTCTAGCTGTAGGCAACAATTTTTTGACCTTCGCGCATTGCATTACTTAATGAACTTTAGGCTTTATCCCATGCCTGAAGCATTTGGACTTCACGACAATTGCTGCAACCCCAGCAACAGCCCAGTGATCGACTTTTCTGCTCTTACCCATTCTTACCCGGTTGCCTCAGATAAAGGATTGAACTGCACCAAGGCAACATCACATGCGCACAAGAGGAGGTTGGCTTAATGTGCCATTTCAAATCAGCTCTTGCACAACTGCAGTGTGCAGGCCTTCAAACTGCTTCTTGGCATGCAGAGCATGGTGTCGGCTGGTGGCGGTGGAGGTGATGGAAAGTCAGCTGACGATGCCTGATCCTTGGAAACATTTCCCATGTGTTTCCTATTTGCTTAAACTCAGATTGAGCAAGAAAAACCTGTCATGCCCTGTATGCCTCGCAGTGTGATTGAGTGGCGCGGAGTGATCAAGTCGTCACTCAGAGAGCTTTGTGACAGCACAAGGTCATGGACGCAACTGCGGCTTCGATCCAAGACAAGCTGCCAAGAGCCTTTGCGATCTCCTGGCTTGCTTCAAAAGGTGTCAAAGGACTCAATTCCCAGTGGGCAAGAAGGACCATTTCAAGACATTAAACATATCAGGCGACATTGTGCATGATTCTTGAATGACGGGGCAGGCTTGACGTATGTGAGCAAAAGTTCCCCACACGCTACGAGGACGACACGTTGTTCTCAACTTCGGTTTCGCGCTTCGGAACATTGGGGCAGAGACATGCAAAGCATGGGTGTTGAACTGCAAAAGCCTGGGAATGTAGGTTTGCCAGGTTTGCATCATGTTGAAGTTTGCAGGAGTCGATGAACACAGTGGTCAAGCAGGAATGTCTTCGTTTGGGCCTGTGCTATCCAAAAGCCTTGCTGTTAGGTTGGAGGCCATTGCTACTAGGGTGGAGGCCATCACCCTTAGGTTAGAGGCCATTGCTGCAAGCATGAACATTAACCTGGAAACATCAGACTGCCTCCGATGGAGTTGTCTCAAATCCAAAGACAAGCTCTTGAGGCTACAACAAGCTTTTGACTGAAATGGACAGCTCTCTCAAGGACAGACAGCCACAAATGCTGTCAGCAGATACGAAATGCTTGAGTGTTTTTTCCTTCTTTAATCTATTGCAGGCATTCCGAAAAGCCATAAAAGGTCTCATAGTTTGGTCCTGAGAGACATCGTTTGAACACCTTGTGGACACGAACATTGAATGACTGCAAGGTCATGACTGCAGAGCTGGAGGAAGTTGGGAAATCAATGTTTATCAACGAGGCATGGCAACGCGTCTTCCGGCGTGCACCGGAAGCGAGCTCTACTCTTTTGTCCCTGGTGTTTTTCTTTTTTTAAGCCTGGGGGGGTAGGTAGGCTGTGGAGGTAGTAGCTAGATAGCTAGAGGTAGCTCGTAGTAGCTAGGTAGCTACGACCTGCAAGTAAGCTTTGGTTCCTAGATTTTTAGCGAAACTTAAGGTAGTAGCTTTCTATTTGAGAGCGGAGGAAGGTGGTTGTGAGCTTTCCTTATCTTTCTTTTGTGGACACTCTACCACCGGGGTTCTATGTTTCGGCCAACAGGGTTACAATCAGACAAGCAAGCAAGCTTAGTTGGTTCAGTTGTCAGGTTTTGGCTGGGACCAGTTCACAACTAGGGTTCTAGGCCTAGGTTACGACATGTTACAAGTTACAACCAGAATCAGATCTCTGACCTGACCTTAAGAGTCCGTCTTTGGGGTTTCAAAGACTCCAGACGTCGGTTTCGCAAACTACAGAGGTGATGGTTTCACAAGCAACACTTGGACACCAGTCTTCATGAGGAAAGCGATTCTTAAGACTGGACAGCCAATTTAAATGAACATGTTGCTGAGACATGTCTGAGGTCCCGGAGATGTGGTGATTGGCTGAGTTGCTTTGTAGTTGTTTGTTTTGGTTTGGCTTCCTTAGATTGCAGAGGCAGCTGGCTGTGTCAGATGTTGCTTCATTGATCTCATTGCACAGAGAATGTTGTGACATGTCATGCTGCGTAGCTGCTTTGGTTGTCATATTAGAACGTCATGCCTGGTGCTCTTCCTTTTATGCCATGCATCGATTGATCCTTTTTGCGCTATTGCTCTTTGCAGCCAGTCCCTTGCTTCAAGTACCAGCTTAAGTTACACAAAAGCAGGATAGTAACAATACAGAAGCCTTTGTACAGATTCGGGCAGCTTGTCTTAATGATGTTTTGACATGTTTAGATTACAGTGAATTTGCTGGGTGCCAAAAAGCATCGCGTATGGTCAAGGTGCCCAGCCCTCTCCGCGACGACGTGACCCTCCTCGGAGACGCTTTGATGACCGCAGGCGCTACGATCCGCCGCGCAGGCGGTACGATGATCGGAGGCGCTATGATCCTCCGAGACGGCGCTATGATCCTCCGAGACGGCGCTATGATGATCGGCGGCGCTATGTTCCATCATGCCAAGTTCCCAATTGTCTCCGTTGTGACCTTGCGTCGGGACCTTGGTATCCTTGTTACTCCTTTTGACCGTGTTGAGATCATCCAGACTTGTTTGGTTGAGGCCAATGTTTTGCAGCAAGTGCAAGAGCGGGTATACATTGTGCACCTTGCAAGTTTTTGGGAGGACATTGAGGACATGTGACATGCTACTATCGTGAAGTCAGTCAAACAACAACGCTTTGACGACAACACCTCATGTCCAACTTACGCAGTGGCAGGGATCTTCCTTTCAAAACATCATGCAATTCCTGCGGCGCGAACTGTGCGAGGCTGCTGATCAAGAAATAGCATTTATGAAAGCACTTTCATGTCCTTTGCGATTAGCTAGTAGTAACAAGTGCATCACTACTATAGTAGCAAAAGTGCATTGCTACCAGTAAAAAGGGCATTACTACTAGTAACAAGAAGCTACTAGGTTGGAGTTGGAGGCCATCGCTAGTAGGTTGGAGGCCATTTCTACTAGGGTGTTGGAGGCCATCGCTAGTAGGTTGGAGGTCATCGCTAGTAGGTTGGAGGCCATCGCAAACAGGTTGGAGGCCATCGCTAGTAGGTTGGAGGCCATCGCTAGCAGGTTGGAGGCCATGGCAAGTAGGTTGGAGGCCATCGCTATTAGGTTGGAGGCCATCGCGGCCATCGCTAGTAGGTTGGAGGCCATCGCTATTATGTTGGAGGCCATCACTATTTGGTTGGAGGCCATCGCTAGTAGGTTGGAGGCCAACGCTTTTAGGTTGGAGGCCATCGCCATCGCTATTAGGTTGGAGGCCATCGCTAGTAGGTTGGAGGCCA